TTTCCAGAAAATGTGAATGCCACAGGGGACGATGTGTTTGGGGGTTTAGCACAGCCTGATTTGAACTTACCCAGAGCTGGGTGGGAGCTGCAGCTCCTGCCTTGGGGCTAAAATGATTCCCAGGGCTTTGGGGACACCGTGGCCCCTGCTCAGACTTTTTGAGGGGGTTACTCCACCTGCCTGGTGAAGCGGCTGCACCTTTGCAGGATTTTAACAAATAGGGAAGAGGGAACAAAACCCTTCAGTGAGGCTTCCCAGCGGGTGTCCCCTGGCTGTTCACTCCTCCCTGTGTCCCCTGTGCCTCCCCAGTGACAGGACAGCTCGGTACTACTACTACTGGCACCTGAGGAAGCAGGTGCTGCACTCCCAGTGTGTGCTGAGGGAAGAGGCTTATTTCCTGCTCACCGCCTTCGCCCTCCAAGCCGACCTGGGGGACTTCAAGAGGAACAAGCACTACGGGAAATACTTCGAGCCCGAGGCCTATTTCCCTGCCTGGGTAAGAAATCCTGCTGTGCTCCCTGCTCTGGGCTCCTCTGGCTGCATCCTGGGCTAGCCCTGGTTGTGAATAACCTGGGACAGCTGTGGGGGTGGAATAGCTGCGGCTTGGAGCTGCTGGGGAATTCCCTGGGAGCTCCTGAGGGATTCTCTGCAGGCATTGCCCCACCAGCATCAGGGGCAGCCCTTTGGGGACTGGTGGCACAGAATCCCAGAATGGTTTGGGTTGGAAGGATCATGAAGAACATCCAGTCCCACCCCCTGCCACCTTCCACTGTCCCAGGCTGCTCCAAGCCCTGTCCAGCCTGGCCTTGGGCACTGCCAGGGATCCTGGGGCAGCCACAGCTGCTCTGGGCACCCTGTGCCAGGGCCTGCCCACCCTCCCAGGGAAGGATTTCTTCCCAAAATCCCATCCATCCCTGCCCTCTTGCAGTGGGAAGCCATTCCCTGTGTCCCAAGTCCCCGTGCATTCCCTGTGTCCTGTCCCTCCATCCCTTGTCCCCAGTCCCTCACCACCTCTCCTGGAGCCCCTTCAGGTACTCGAAGCTCCCCCTGGTGCCTTTTCTTCTCCTTCCCAACCCCTTTACTTGGTTTTGCCCCAAAATCTGCCCACTTCTCCTTTTTTCACACATGTCACTGAGGAGTGGTGGCCTGAGCCCGTGTGTGACTCTCCCTGCCCCAGCACAGGTGTCACCATGGAATGGCCACATGGAGCACACTTCCCAGCAGGAAATCCTGCTGGCAAGAAGTCCCTGGCTGCTGTAATTACTTTATTTTTGCTCGGAGATGTCTAGAACAAAGCTCCAGTTTGCCCTTCTCCCTTGAAACCACCACTCCCAGGGGCCAGCACAGGGCAGCTGGACAAGCTTCTCTCCCCCTCCACGCAGGTGGTTGCCAAGAGGGGCAAGGATTACATCCTGAAGCACGTCCCCAACATGCACAAGGACCAGTTTGCCCTGACAGCCTCAGAAGCCCATCTCAAGTACATCAAGGAGGCCGTCAGGCTGGACGACGTGGCCGTGCACTACTACAGGTTGTACAAGGTGAGCCCTGGCCCTGTGGCTGTTGGGATCTGAATTTTGGGAATGCCCTCCCTGAGAACTACTTGCTGTTTTTTTCTCTCCAGGGAAGAAAGCAGTTTGTTTGTTGTAGGAGCATGGGGTGTTTTATTTGACTCTCAGAATGGTTTGGGTTGGGAGGGAGCTTAAATCCCATCCTGTTCCACCCCCCCACCACCTTCCACTATCCTAGGGTGCTCC